GAATCGAACTCACAGCCTCATGCTTGCCAGGCAGGCAGCCTTACTTTTCTCACTGCCTGGGTTGCTTTCATGATTACATTGGCCATGTTAATGATGTTCTTTTGAACTTATCTTAAAGGTTATTATGCTGATCGCTGGAAAGACTATTTAAGGGGCAAGGGCCATCCAACCACGAAGGCGTTCTTTGACACAGCTGAGCAGAAGCCCTTCTGCAGTGAGTGGTGACTGTGGTCTGTTGTTTTTATCTCACCCCCTTCTCTTGGGCATAGCTGAGTCTCAGCTTCGCCGCCACTTCTTGGCAAATGAAGGCTATAGCAAAGCTTGGAGTTTGGAGCTATCTTGAATCCTGATCCTGTCACATGATAACTGTGTGACCTTGGTCAAGTCATCTAAGCACTTAGAATGTCAGAGTCCTGACTGGTAAAATGGAGAAAATAATGCTTATCTTCTGGGTTACTAGGGTTAAAGTATCAATGAATCAGAATTGTGAGCATCATCAAATAGTCACTATCATCACTAAAAAACTGCTTGATTCCTCAAGAGACAGGAAATTGGGGCTAGGAAAATTCAGGCAGCAGTACACCTACTGGGTCAGTTCCAGCTCTATAGCAACCACGGTGACCTAAAGGCATCAAAAGGAGAGCATGTAAGATGGGAGCTAATTAGGGCAGCAGGTGATGAAATGTCCTAGGACACAATGAAGATTCACCTGGGCAGATGTATCTTTTGCAATCTGGTACCCCCTTTCCACTTTTCTTTTTGTTTGTTTGTTTGTTTTTGTTTTGTTTTTCTTCCTGTACCAGGAATCAAACTCATGACCTTGCGCTTGCCAGGCAGGCGCTGTGCCGCTGAGCTAAATCCCCAGCTCCCCCGTTTCCACTATTCTTGGGAGCAACTGTTTTATAAAAGGTGGCAGATGCCTGGGTTTCCGTCTGCCTTTGGAGCCACACACGGCAGCCCAGGATTTGGTGTCTTCCTGGTCCGAGAGGGATGAGCCGCTGAGCAGTAATGAGTCATGAACTGGCAACTCCAGGGTTGACCTTGTTCCTTCACGAAGCTGTTCTCTCCCTGGGCCTTTTTCTATTTCCCTGAAAGTCTGACCAAGAAACAGTAAATCCGATTATCACAAGGGGATGCCCATCTCCTCAAATACATTTGACCTTGGGGAGCAAATAGTAAGGAGGAAGAGAGCTTTCTGGACACATCCTGTCTCATTTATTCAGTGAGAATTTATTGGGTGCCTAGATGGGTGTGCCTGCTGGGATTATAAAGAGGAACGATCACCCCTTGTAGGATAATTTTATCTTCTATAAAATCCAGCTATTCTGATAATATTTATGCAGATGTGCTCAGAGATTTACCACCGTACTCAGCACTTCCCTTGCAATTTGTAAGGACGGTTAAGGTGCTGAATGACCCTGGGGGAACCTAGAGCAGGACTGGGACGCCAACAAAGGAGAGCTGACTGAGTCTGAGGGCCAGGGAAGGACATGACATCTCTTGGAGGAAATGATATAAAGCTAAACCCTGAAGGATGGCTTTGCGAAGCAGGCAGGCCCGGAGTAGGAGAGAAAGCTTGGCAGTGAGGATGGTTCGCACGACTGGGAAAGAGAAGAGGGAGGCCAGGTGGGCTGGGGACCACGGCCCAGATGATGGAAGACCTCGCCAGCTCAGTAGGGTCTTCAGATGGCCAGTTGGTTGTTTTATCACAAGGTGGGCAGGAGATGAAGTGAGCTAGTCACACTCGACAGTAGGCTATGAGCCTTCGGTCCATAAGGTGGGAACCCCTTGTGCCTGAACGTGGCGCGGGATACCACGGAGCGCTGCTGCTTCTTCTGCCATTGGTGCAGACAAAAGAGAAAGGCATGGTGGGATAGGCTGCCGTGGATCTTTGCAGAGAAACTAGAGGAAGAAAAAAGGAGACCCCTTTAGTAGGGATGCTGGGTTTTTGGGAATTGCTCCTCCAGGGAAGTAGTAGCGGGGGGGGGGGTGCCTCTTTAATCGCCTTCTCTCCTTGTTTGGCAGTATATCATTATTTCGTGGACATTATATCTTGGAACAAGAATGTAAGAAGAGGGTCAATCACAATCAAGTTGAGAGACAAAGATGGAAACATCACGGAGTCTAAAATCGATCAGTATGTTGAGCTGCAATAGCTTGTAGTTTATTTTTTCTCTTTTTGCTTGGGGAAATTACATCCTGAGTATGCATGTTGTATTATTTATATGTTCATACTTTTCCTCTTCTGCAAAAGATGGAAGGGAGTATGCTACTTAGTTACTGTCCCTGGCTCTTGATTTCCCAGGCTGTCCGTAAGTGGGGTTGGTGCCACGGTTTTCCTTCCTTCTTCCTTCCTCCCTTCTCTCCATCCCTTTACCTCTTTCTCTGCTTCTTTTCCTCCTTACATCCTGGATTAAACATTTAACTACAGAGTTACTCTTGTTTACTGTAAAGTTCTAACCAATCAAGGTATATGCTGATTTAATCATTTCACATTCTATACAGATATCAGTACTTCCAGGGGCTGGGGATTTAGCTCAGCGGCAAAAGCGCCTGCCTTGCAAGTGCAAGGTCGTGAGTTCGGTTCCCGGTACCGGAGAAAAACAAACAAACAAACAAACAAAAAAGATATCAGTACTTCCAATGGGTATGACTATGATTTGTTAACCAAAAATAATATTAACTTATAAATCTAAAAGAATATTCCACATAAAAATGTAAGTCCTTGGTCACATCTCCCCACAGCCCCAACTCCAAGGTAAAAGGCATCAGCTATGTACATGTTTCTAAGTAGCCCAGGCTGTCCTTGAACTCATTGTCCTCTTGCCTCAGCCTCCCCAGTGCTGAGATTACAGGTGTGCACCACCATGCCTAGCCATATTTCCATCCTTATGTGAGCTCATAATGTACATATATAAACCTATGTAAAATAAATATGTATATGTGTATATAGAGATATGTTTCTGAAACTCAGAGAATATAACTGGCAATGAAAATTGGAAATACCAGCTGGGTATGGTGGCACAAACCTGTAATCCTGGCATTCTGGAGGCTGAGGCAGTGCTTTAGTCACGTTCTTGCTGCTGGGACAGAATACCTAAAGGAGAGGTTTATTTTGGCTCACGGTTTTGGTCTGCAGTTGGCAGAAGGTCTTGAAAGAGCAAAGTGGATCACACCAGTGTGATCTGGAAAGGAGGGCAGGGGGCCAGGGAGGGAGATACACCCGTTCGGGTCATATCACCAGTGACCCACCTCTAACTGGGACCCAGCGCCTAACCACATGCTCAGCTGCTGACCTCATTAATACATGAACCCACTGAGGAACACAACACCCCATGATCCAGTCATTTTCCAAAAGCCCCACCTCTGAACACTTGAGAGTTTTGGGAGATATTCTAGATCTAAACCTCAATGGGTATGAAGATCTCATGTTCAAGCCTAGCCTGAGCAATTTAGTGACTTACTGAGGCCCTGTCTCAAAATAAAAAATAAAAAGGGCTGGGGATATAGCTCAGAGAAAAGGCCAGGGGTTCAGTCCTGAGCATTGCAAAAAAATTGAGGGGGGAGATATACCTCCAAAATCCAACAATGGAAAGTGGTTAACTTAAATATTTCCATGTAACAGAATATTATTCATACATTGAAATTTTTATGACATACATGAAAGGCAAGCTTATACTATGCAAGTGAAATATAGAAAAGCAAATTACATACATGTTGGCTTAGTTACTTTTCTCTTTGCTGAGACAAAGTATCTGACACTCCAAGTTAAAGGAGGAAAGGTTTATTTTGACTCAGTTTGTGGAGGTTTCAGTTCATAGTCAGCTGGTTCCAAGGCAGGTGGCATGGCAGAAGGGCATCACAGAGCAGAAACAGTCCATGGCAGGGCAGGCAGGAGGCAGCAAGCAGTGAAACAGCAGCCTTCCTTCCTTCATCCCTTTATATACCATCCAGGCTACAAACCTATGGACTGGGGCCACCCACATCCAGGGCCTTGCATTATCCACACCTAGAACTATGCTACACCAATTTAGTTATCACAGACTCTTAATCCCAGTATCACCTACCCTGATCCAGTATCACACACCTATGCTTCAGCCACCTCCCAAAGGCTCCACCTACAAGCACATGAGGCTTTGGGGAGACATCTAGATACAAGCCATAAGTATAAGGTTAGCTCAACAATGTAATAAAATGAAACATGCCAAATGTTAGCTTGCCATTTGGATTGTGGGACTAGGAATGCTTTTTTTTTTTTTTTTTAAAGCTTCTTTTTAGTTTTCAGTCTTCTATTACGGCTGTGTGTGTGTTTTAACTTATGAAATGATTAAAGCCGGGCATGGTGGTGCATTCCTGTCATCCCAGCACTCAGAGAGCTGAGGGAGGAGGATCACCGGGGATTCAAGGCCAGCCTGGGCTACATAGTTCAAGGCCAGCCTGAACTGCATAGCGAGATTCTGTCTCAAAACACAAAACAAGGGCCAGGGATATAGCTCAGTAGCACAAGTGCCTGCCTGGCAAGCGCAAGGTCCTGAGTTTGATTCCCAGTACCAAAACAAACAAACAAACAAACAAAAACCAAAAAAAAAAAAAAAAACAAAACCACAGAACAAAAAAACCCAAAACATACTGTTTTTGTGTATCACTTCTATAACCAAGACAAGGGGCAAGAGAACCTTTGGAATAAAGGAATTTGAGATTCATTTTGTTCCTTTACTCTGGAAATGTTTCCTGGGTCAGCTGGCTACCAGGCACTCAGGTTGTCTCTCGGCCACATCCGCAGAATAACAGGATGGTGTGTGAAACTCACAGCCACTGTGTGGGCCCCCTGGTAAATAGTGATGCCTGCGCGTGCCTTAGAGGTGACTTCTTTTTCTTTTGGTGCAGGGCTTGAGCCCAGGGCCTTGATTGTGGTAAACCCACACTCTAGGCAAGTGCTTTCCCACTGAGCTACACTCCCAGCCTGAGTGTGACTTCTTCCAGAGCCTCCAGGCTTTCGCATCCTCACCAACACCCGCTGCACTAGTGGGTGTGAGGTGGTTCTGTCACCGGACGCCTCCACTGCACTCAGAGCGCCTCCTTCCTGTCTGGCGCGGGGGCCAGGGTCACTTTGCAGTTTCCGGGCCTGGAATCAACCACGTCTTCTGGGAGCCCTGGTTCGTTTCTGTGCAGATGTGCTTAAAACCCAAACCTGGGCCCCTCTCCCACTGGTTTTATCTGTGGCGCTTCTGTTCTCCGCAGGACTAGAGCTGACTCCAGTGGGCTGGGGTGATAGACAACTGCTCACATCTGCCCCACCCCAAATGAAGGAGGCCCGTAGGGGACAAGCCACTGTTCCTTTTTTTTTTTTTTTTTTTGAAAAACAAGAGAATGAAAATATATTAACAAACACATATATGTTTACCAATTGACACAAGAACAATACAAGCAATACTGAAATTCAGACAAGGTGATAGGAAATCAACAGTGGTTGCTGTATTACATATTGATTTCTTCAAAGTGGTTACTTGGGAAAACAAATATAGACGCGTAAGATTGGTCAAACAATTAATCATTAACTGTTCCTTTCTTTTTTTTTTTTGATGTTTTTGGTTTTTTTCCGGTACCAGGAATTGAACTCACAACCTTGCGCTTGCCAGGCAGGCACTGTGCTGCTGAGCTACATCCCCAGCCCCTAACTGTTCCTTTCAATAAAGCGATAGAAGTCAGTACTGCAACTATGTTAGCTACCCTGCCGCTGTTCCTGTTTAAAATCTTTTTATGAGTCCGTGTTTGCGGTACACGATTACATTCCCGTGGGGAGTTGCTGCGTGTGCCTCACACATCCCAATTCTTTTTTCACCCCCTGTCCCTTCTTTTCCCTCCCCTTCCCTTCATCTTCTGGTCCCCTTCCTGTTTGCAAAAGATCTATGTCCTTGTTTCCCCCCCTTTTTTGAGACAGGGTCTCCCTATGCAGTTGAAACTCACTATGCAGCCCAGGCTGGCCTCAAACTCACAGCAATTCTCCTGCCTCAGCCTCCCCAGTGCTGAAATTACAAGCATGTGCCACCATGCCCGGCGCTCCTCTTATCTATCGTTTCTTTTGCTCTTTAATTTGTTTATACTTTGGGTTTCTCATATAAGGGAAACCACGTGATATTTAAACTTGTGTGTCTTATTTTTTTACTGAAGATTATGGTCTCAAGGTGCGTCTACAGATGACTCAGATCTGTCCTTTATGGCACACTAGTGCTCTGTGGTATATAGGCCTATTCTTCCAGAACCCAGGTGGCTCCTCATCTCTCTGCAGCCCCCTCTTCCAGCTCCCAGAGGGACAGGCCCTGCTAAACCTCTTGGGGAAGATCTGCGTACCTTAGGGTCATGGGGTTCTGTCTGTAGAAAATGTCTCTACACATGTGGAAAAAGTATTAGAACCTAAGTTTAGCTGTTTTGAGGTTCGTCTTGGGAGGGAAGGTGGAACGAGGAACAAGCTCTCCATTAGAACCTAGTTTGGCTAAAAACACCCACGTGCCTCTAGCAATGCATTCAAAGGAAAGACCAGGACTTTGAGCTCAGAGCTGAGCTTGATTCCCTGCAGGGTCACAGAGAATCCCCATCTCCAGGGAGTTTAAGCTGTGCTGCTGCTGCTCCTTTGCAGAGGAGGGAAGCAATTCCCACCCTGTGGAACATCAGGGCATTGGGCAGCTGTGTCCAGGGATGAGCAGATCCCGGGTACATAGTAGGTCCTCACGAGCACCAGGCGTTTCAAGGGCAGGACCTTCCCTCAGACAGGCCTCTGGAAAGTCCCCAGCCGGCCCCTGAGTGGCCAGTGCAGCGAGGCCTGCTGACCGGTGCTCACAGGCTGCACAGCTGCCTTCTACCTGTGCTCTCCTAACAGTGTCATTGCTTCCTAGTGAGCCGGCCACATTTGAGAAATACCACCAAGTGAGTCTGCTGGCGAGATTTAACCAAGACCTGAGCGAGGTGGCAGAAGTTTCCTTGATGTTCTCCACGGGCTCTGTGGTCGGCCCCAAGTACAAGCTCAGGGTCATCCGCATGAAGCTGAGGTCCCTCGCGTATCCGGACAGGTGAGCCCAGGCAGGGCATGACAAACAGGTTACAGGAGCCTGGCGAGTTTGCATGGTCTCGGGTCTTAGCAGGACTTGAGTGTTCACGGTGGGGGAAGGGAAGGGCTTTTCAAACGCAGTCTTGATGGGCACATGCCTGTAATGCCAGCACTGGGGAGGCTGAGGCAGGAGGATCTCTGTAAGTTCAAGGCCAGTTTGGATTATGTAGTGAGTTTAAGCTCATAGTGAGACCCAGTCTCAAAACAAAAATCCAGAAAAACCCCAAACAAACAAAACAACAGAAAATAAAAGCAAGTAGCCCTGCATCCAAGAAAATTATACTGGTATGTGCTTAAAGAGAAAGGGCCAGCAGACCGAGGAAGTGATTTGTTAGAGCCTGAGAGTGACCTGATTCCTTTTTCACCACCCAGGCTGTTTGCAAGCTGATAATTTGTTGTAGAAAAAAAAAGCTTTGTATCATTTTGCAAACTGATAAAGCAGAGCCTAATGTTTAAAAAGGTTAAAGAAAAATTGGATTGTTTTCTACTGACAGTGTAAGGCTACTATTATAGCAATGCTAAATCTGGCTAAATTTGTTGAATTTGACAACTGCTCTGAGAATGTTCTTTTTATTTATTTATTTATTTATTTATTTATTGAGACAGGGTCTTGCTATGTAGTGCAGGCTGGTCTTGAACTCATTATGTAGCCTAGGCTGACCTTGAATTCATGAGGATCTTCCTGCCTCAGCCTCCTGAGTGCTGGGATTACAGGCGTGTACCATCACAGCCAGCTCTGAGAATATTCTTGTTCTTAAGAAATACATAGTGAAGTTTTTTTTTAATATACTGAATTATTAAGGCATATTTAATATTAAGTACTTTCAACTAGTTTATAAAAATATGTGTGAGGGGAGAGAGATTTTAAAAGGTACATAACTGTATCTATATTTTGTGATAATGTCACTTTTCCTAGAATTTACTCTGGAGGGAGGGAGGGAAGGAAGCAGAGAGAATGATGTGGGATTTAGGTTTATGAATTTTTTTCTTGAAGGTTTAAGATACTCTAAAATATTTAATAATACAAGTAGCTTGTCTTTTTTGTTTGTTTGTATTTTGAGACAGGATCTTCCTATATAGTTCAGGCTGCCCCTGAACCCACTATGTAGCCCAGGCTGGCCTTGAACTTGTAGCAATCCTCCTGCCTCAGCCTCCCAGTGCTGGGATTACTGGTGTGTACCACCACGCCCAGCCCAAGTTTCCTAATAATATAAGTTTTGAAAAATAATAAAAGTTTCTTCTAAGAGGACAGCCATATTAAATCTTGCTGGGCATGGTGGCACACACCTGTAATCACAGCACTCAGGAGGCTGAGGCAGGAGTATAATGAGTTCAAGACTCATATCATAGAGAGTTCAAGGCCAACCTGTAATACAATAGTGAAACCGTGTCTCAAAAAAACCAAACAAATGAACAACAACAAAACTGGGACTTTTAAATAGCTTTTCTCTTGATTTTCAAAGGAATATATGGTTTGTTTATACAAATTTGGGAAATACAGAAATGAATACAGAAAAATATCACTTATAATGTTGCAGAATCCAAGAGATCAAAAACCAACAGGGAAAACCAGGAGGATTTTATTACATATACACCTGGCTCCCCTTGACCTTATGATATCCAAAATGGCTGAGCGAGCCCTAAAGGAAAGGCTCCAGATTTTTACACATTTTACCTAGGGGGTTGGTCTTTCCAGTGGCGAGAAACTGCGGGTGGGTGAAGGTGGGCTGCACGCCAGGGTATAGAAGCAAGACAAAGCAATTAAAAGCAATTAATAACTTAGTCTTAAAAGAAAACTGGGCCGACTGGCTGTGATGGTGAACGCCTGTGACCCCAGCACTGGGGAGGCTGAGGCAGGAGGATCGCTTTGAGTTCGAGGCCTGCATGGGGCTACACAGTGAGTTAAGGCCAGCCTGAACCGTACATTGAGACCCTATCTCAAAAAAAAAAAAAAAAAAGAAAAAAGAAAGAAAGAAAATAAAGCCTATGACTCTCATGAGAACAGAGTGTCATCGGCTTTGTTTACAGGTCACAATCAACAATCTTATCTGTACTGGAACAAGGAGTGACAGCCGCAGGGGAGGGGGCGATTGTTTAAGGCTGGGAAAGCTTGTTTTCCTTTCAGTCCTGCTTCAGTCATGTCAGTACTTAGAAGTAACCGCTGTTAATGTTCTTGGTTATTTCTTTTGAATCTCTCTAGTCTTACCCTTCAGCCTTGTTGAAGTCACACAGTCATCAAAATTCAGACTCCGCTCTCGTGTGGCGGGACTTTTTCCCTTCGCAGAGCATTTGGCGATAGTGTTTGAAACAGCTGCTCCATAACCCTGGCTCCTAAGGATGCGATGCAGTTTAGTGGAGCAGCACACGGTGTTCCCCTTGTTTCACTGATGAGGCTGTTTTGTCATCTTCCCGTTTTCTCAGGCCGCAGCTGTGCCGCTATGACCTTGTCCTGATGGAAAATGTCGAAACCATCTTCCGGCCTATTCCCTGCCCCAGGCTGCAGCTGTAACTTCCTGGGGACCGGTGGCACCCCAGTGCCAGCCGGGCGACATCTATAGGCTCCGTCAAAGCTTCGCCTCACCTTTTCTTCAAGGTTCCAATAGTACAGAAGAACGAAGGTTATTTCTAGCAGCGTCCTATGAGTATCACACTGTCAAACGTCAAGTGACCTTGTGGTTATGAAAGGATCCCGGGAAAGCAACCCCTAACTAGGGCAAGTCAGAAATAGCCAGGCTCCCGCCAGCCCTGAGCTTCGCCTGCTGCATCCCGGGACCTCGTTTGTTCTGACCTGTCACTTCTCTGCGTGTCACCAGTGCTGCTGTCCCTCAGGGCTGCGGGTGGAGCATCTGAAAGGGAAGCATGGCTGGAGATCCACTGTGGACACCCACACCCACCCTGCACCAGGTTCCCCGCAGTTCTGGCACACAGCAGGGTACAGCGGAACTGACCTACCTCGCAGGGCTGCTGCGGGCTCGGAGGTGCATGCAGGAAGGGTTCTTTGCAATCCACATCTGGGAGATGTGGGTGGAAGGGAATACACTTTTATTTATTTTGATACGGCTGAGCTCTCCTGCTTAGAGCAAGAGGCAGGAGAGGAAAAGTGGATCATTATTATTATTATTAATTTTTGGTGTGGTGCTGGCAATGGATCCCCACTGAAAAACATCCAGCCCTAGACACTTTAAGCAATCCCTAAATAATAATATTTATTTTTCCCTATTACTAGTGGAATCCACGATTATCGAAGGACATTGTTTTCAGTGCATGGTACACAGGGAAAAAGAACGCTATACACAACTCTACCTGTTAAAGGGGATCGATGGACGAAGTTGTAACTTGTTTTGTGGAGAATGGAATTCACCACACAGCTGGTTTGCTTGTGGGGCATCCGAAGCCTCCAGGTGGGGGACTTGTTCGGTTTCCCTGGAAGAAGGTGTGATGTGTGACTCTGGAATGACAGCGACAGTTAAGTAGGAGGTCCCTGAGAGCCGAGGCCAAGAAGGCTGGAATGAAGAGAGGATGGTCCCTGGGGCCAGATGTCCAGGTCTGGGACAGGCCCGGTGCCATCCACCTCCTCCGAGTGACTTCTATCACTTGCTGTGAAGACAGCCCTGCTTGTAAATGAGAGCCTTCAGCAACAGGAGTGCAAGGGCCTTTGTTAGCCCTGTGCTCTCCCATGTGGTTCTGACTGAGCTTGGGCCTCGGAGCAGGAAGCATCATTGGGTGCTGCCTATTCACTTGGAAGGAGACCCCTTCCGAGTCCAGGGGGAGAAGACAGCCCTAGGAGTCTCCTCTTGGGGAAGATGTCCTTGTGTTGGCCAAATCCCATGACCCTCAGGTTCCATGGTCTCCAGCACTGCCCAGGGTTTCTCTTCTGAGTCTCTCTTGGATGCTCAGCCCTCTCTCTCTTTCTCTCTTTTCTCTCCCCAGCTGTCTTTCTCACTGATCATACCTGAGTGCGCCATCTTGTTCTTTCATTGGCTCCACTACTTCCTCACCAAGCTTCTGGTTTCAGTCAGAAAGAGTTCTCGGGACAGTAGTGCACACTAAGACATTAGGCTCTGGTGTGGCAAGGAGTGTGATCTCCATTACGCTACTGAGTTCCTTACCTTGTCCTAAGCTTCAGTTTCCTGGACTATAGCAGGGTAGGGGCAGTTGAGAGTCCCTACTTCATGCGGGTTGTGCTGTGGAAGAAATTCCTGCATGTAAAACACTCCCTTTGGGTCTACAAGATACTCAAGGAACACCATCTGCTGTCACTTTCTCTTTCATTGTGTCCCTAGGAGATCTTCCCCTCTCCCCTCAAGTCAACTATTTCCTCTAGATGATGAACTCTGATGTGGTTTGGTGAATATCCCCCAAAGGCCTATCCCTAGCTTGGCATTGTGGGCAGGGTGTGGAACTTTAAGAGGTGGGCCTGGTGGGAGATCTTCTGCTCGCTGTAGGTTATTAGCTTTCCATTGCTAGGACAAAATACCTGACACACAACTTAAAGGACGCAGGATTTATCTTGGTTTTTGGTTTCGGTTGATGGGCAGCTGCCTCCAAGGCAGAAACACCATAGGGGAGGGTAATGGTCAAGCAAAGCTGCTCGCCTCATGGTGGCTGGCTGGAAGCAGAGAGAGAACAGGGAGAAGAATTCACCCTTCTACGTCAAACCCCCAGCAACATATGTCCTCCAACTAGGCCTCATCTCCTGACAGCACACTCAACTATGAGCTCATCAGTAGATGAATCACTGAGGAGTTTAGAGCCCCATGAGCCAAACACCCTCCAAAGGTCTCACTTCTACACAACTCTGCACTGGGGATCAAGCCCCCCATACATTACTCTTTGTGGGGATCCTTCCTACTGAAACTGTACCTGCAGGCATTCCCTTGAAGGGAACAGTAGGACCCCAGTGCCTTCCTATTCCTCTCTCATCCATATTCTTGCTATGGGGTGAGCAGTTTTACTACGCCACAATGCGCTCTCTTGACCCGGGCCCCAAAGTAACAGGCCAGCCAACCATGGACTGAAACCTCCGAAACCGTGGGCCACAGTAAGCCTTTCCTCTTTAGTTATCTCACGTATTTTGTTACAGCAACACAACACTGACTAAAACAGTCTGCAGATCTGAATATTCGGTCTCAGCTCACATGCTTGTTGAGTGGTGGTACAGGGCAGAAGAAAGAATGAGAGCTCAGGGGGCAGCAGATGGGCCTTGCATCCCTGTGCAGCACTCATTGCTGCAGACTGCACAAGTGACTTTGTCTGAATATCTACTCGTCTACTCATGGATAAGTAGGATAAGGACACTTGCTTTGGTGGGTGGACTAAGCTTCACTGTGTTGATTTCCTCCACGGCACCCATCATGCTCCAGGATTACATCTCTCTCCATGCTCGTGAGATCTTCAAGGTCAGGAACCTCATCTTCTTGTTCCTGCCTCGATTCCTTGCCCCAGCACAGGCTCAACAAAGTTAGCTCCTCATCCACTTTCCCTCTTACATTCTTTTGGCTTCTCAAAGTCAGCACATACCAAGCCAGGTCTTTGTTAGAACCTGACACATTAATTCGACAAAGACGTTTAAGTCCCAGTTGTAAGAGAAGCACAGGGTTAGTTAGGGCTTGGAGCAGACAGATTGATGAGACATTGTCTCTTTTATGGAGCGGTTCACTGTCTCATAGGGAGATGGGTGATGACATTTTTCAGGGCGCTTTAAGCACAAACAAGGAACAACTCTTCTGCTTGTGAGAGCTGGAGAAGGCTTCTCAGAGGAGGCAATGGTTGTTCTTAATGTTGATAAAAGGAGGCATTTTCCAGGCGGGGGTTGGGGGGAGGTGGGGAGGTGGCCAGACTAGGCAGAAGAGTATTGTGGGGGGCAGGAACTAACCCAGTGAATGCTCAGCTGGATGGAGGGCTGACACTACTCTCACTTTCTTAAATGGAAAATTTCTAACATAGAGAGACAATAATAGTATAAAATCCACATTTCCATTTCCCAGGCTCAACAATAATCAGCTGCTGATCAGTCTTGTTCTTTTATATCTCTACCCCCCATACCCCTGTATGTTATTCTGATGCAAATCCTAGGCACTGAATAATTTCATCTGTAAGTTTTTCAGTATCTTGAAAAGAAACTATATCCTCTTTTCTTCTTAAGAATGAGTCATAAGGGCTGGGGATATAGCTCAGCCTGCCTGGCAAGCTCAAAGTCGTGAGTTCGATACCAAAAAAAAAAATAAAGAAAATGAGTCATAGAATCATTTTGTTTTTTTAGTTCTGTACTAGGGATTGAACCTAGAGCCTCACATAGACTAAACAAGTGCTCTACCACTGAAATACATCCTGGCCCTTTTAAAAATTTTTTATTTTTGAGACAAGGTCTTGCTAAAGTGCCCAAGCTGACCTTGAACTTTGCATCCTGCCTCTGTCTCTGAAGTAGCTTGGATTACAGGTGTGCACCACTGCACCCAGCCCACAGTATTTTCTTAATCCTGCATCTTGTCCCATTTTTACCCTGGCCATACATGTGGTAACTGCTCTATATCAGGGTGTACTATTTGCCTCTCGATTTTAAGAGGCTACATACAGCCGAGTTCCACTGGTAAATATACCAATTGATGGGCATGTAGGTTATTCCCGATCTTTTAATGTCAAAACAAAGCTGAGCGAACATTTGTGAACATATACTTTTGTATATCTATGGGGATATCTGTAGGTTCCATTTTTGGATGTGCAGTTACAGGATCTTGTACACTTGAATTCCGACAAGTGCTCCCTAGTTGGCCCAAGACGTTCTTTGAGTGCTATGGCAAGGACACCTTCTCTCTGCTGCCCAGGCTGTTGACCCTCTCTGTCCCTTGCTTCATTTAATTAGACACTGCCCTACCAACCCGCCTCCCCCAGCCTGGCCCTCTTCCTTGCTTCCTCCCTGTGGTCTTCGACCCTTTTTATCCGGGCAGTCGCAGCTGTGGACTCAGCATGCACGCTAATCGCCCGCCCAAGTGAGCACCCTAAAATGGGAAACTGAGTCACGCGTATTCAACACCTGTGGTGGAGCCTGGGCATCTGCACTATGAAACACCCAGCTCCTTCGCTTGCCTTGCAGGGCTGTCCAGTTGGTCCTTAACCTCTGTCTAACGTCTCATGCCTCTTGGGTGTCCCTGAAACCAGACTCCGGTGCCTTCCTCACGGCCAGCTTCCTCCCTCCCTCTTCTGTTTGGGGAATTCTGAACCCCGAGGGTAAACTCCAACCCCACCGCTTCCAGAACCCACGCAGGGTGGGAACCACCACTTTGGGAGCCAGGTTGGCTTGGGCCCTCACCCCGCTTCTCTTGTAGAATGCCACTTGATCTTTCCAAAACCCAGATTTACTTATTAATTTTGTGGCGCTGGGAATCAAACCCAGAGCCCTGCGAGTGCCGGGTAAGCGCTCTACCCGAGCCACACCCCTAGCCCCCAACTCTTAAATTCAAATATAACCACTTTGCAGGGTAATTGGGGAGGCTAGGGATAACGGGAGTAGAGCAGGCGCTGAGGAAAAAGCAAGGCTGGTTATTTCTGCGGCCACTGTCACCGCCCCTGACGCCCCTGGCAGATGATCGAGACCTGGCTCTGCATCTGTGGGTTACTCTGTGTGACGGAGCTGAGACGCAGACTGCAAAGTGGCCCCTGGCTCTCCCTGGATCTCTCAGCCGGCTCAGAGGCGGAACTATGGGATTCAGCGCCTGCGGAGTAAGTAGAGAAGGAAGCAGGGACACAACGAGAAGAAACCAGCCCGCAGAGGCGCACGCGCAGACCAGGTTTCCTGCTGGAGGCGGGGCCGCAAAGGGGGCGGGGCTTAGCACGGAACACCCCACCCCCACCCGCACGCCCCGGTCCGACAGCAAACCCGCTCCGCCCTGCAGTTCCAGCGCCGCGAGGGGTCGGCGCTGCAACTAGCGTAACCGGCTGTCGTGCGGCCCGGCGGCGGGCAGGGCTGCGGCCCCGCCATGCGCCCGCTGCTCGGCCTCCTCCTGGTCTTCGCCGGCTGCACGTTCGCCCTGTATTTGCTGTCCACGCAGCTGCCCCGAGGCCGGAGACCCGGCTCGGCGGAGGAGCCTGACGGCAGGTGCGCGGCGGCTATAGCGGGGTCGGGGTTCGGGTGCGAGGATGAGGGTGACGGATCCGGCCCGCGGCTACACGGAGAGTTGCCGGGGCTTCCCCGCGCGGAGGCCCCTGGCCGCGGCCGGCTTCGCCCCTGCTCCCTGGGATCAGCGCGGCGGGGCGGGGGCCGGAGCAACACCTGCCGGGCCGGTTCCCGCGATCGACCGATCGCTGCCCACTCCCTGTAAAGCGCACGGAGGCGTGCCCGCGCGGCGGCGCGCTGTCAGGGAATGTACTGAGATCTCAATGTAAGGGCAGTTGTTTCCAGTTACTGTCTCCAGTGCCCTCGCCGGGAAGACGCCGACCAGGGGAAGCATCCTCATGAGAACTAGGGGCTCTCCTCATCCCTGATCAGTGATGGAGCCCAGGATGGTTCAGATGGCAGAGGCAAGGTAGCCTTTGCACCGTGACCCTTGGACAGGCTTTAGAGAGCCCTGAGGGCCAGATTAAGATCAGGGTGAAAAACCAGGCTCTTTGAGAAGGTTGGTTTCAAGCCTGCCATGTTATCAAGAAACTTATGGGGTTTTTTGTTTTTCGTTCAGTGCTGGGCGTGGAACCCAGGGCCTCACGAATGTTAGGCAAGAGATCTGCCACTGAACTACAACCCCAGCCCTAGAAAGTTACGTTTATGGGATAATGATGTGCATAGGCTAGATGTGCTTCCCTAGAGAATCTTTAATTGGCCTGTTAGTGAATGGTGAAACACTCATTTTTCCTAGTATTGTTCTTGGCTTGTGGGAGAGGTAGTATCCTTAAGAAGAAGGCAGTTTAAGGTGGCTAGTGCTTGTCTGGAAACAAATCCTTTTAAGAATAAGTCATAAAGGAACTGGGAGTGTAGTCAGCTTAATCTTTCACGTGTGCTTAGCGTGGTAGAGGCCCTGGGTTCATTTCCTAGCACCAAAAATCAATCATTTGTAAAATCTAAGAGTTAAGAGAAGTTCAGTGATTACCCAGCACCAACATCTCCTGTTTTAGATAAGGAAACTGAGGCAAAGGTCACACAACTTGGAAGTGGCAGAGTGGGCCACCCCAGGACTCTTGCCTCCACACTGCAGCTCTTGTGTCGGGCTCCACTGTTGTACTGTGTCTCCTGTCATGTGTTCAAGTTATGTATGTGCTCCCAGCAGACCCAGGGATGGGCAAGTTTATAAACTTACTTAGAAAAAAGAAACAGCAAATAATATCCTTGGGCACTGGGTAGAGCTGGACTCCTGTTTCCATCTGACTTTCCAAATGCCCAGGTCACTGTGGTTCCCTTCGGACCTAGCAGAGCTGCAGGAACTCTCCGAAGTCCTTCAAGAGTACCGGAAGGAGCACCAGGCCTATGTGTTCCTGCTCTTCTGCAGCGCCTACCTCTACAAACAGGGCTTTGCCATCCCTGGCTCCAGCTTCCTGGTCAGTGTCCTGCCTGCCTTCCAGCCCTGTTCTCCTTATCTGTCAAATAGGGCTACTTCTCTGAAAAGCATAGCGAGTGTTGCGTGGGAACGAGAATTGAGACAGTGGGGGGTGGCACTCTGTAGCTCTTAGCACTTACTGAATGACTGGGTGCCTGAGCAGGAAGTCCTGAAAGCGTCCTTTTGTCCGGCTTGCTTCCCTCTCCTCCCCCAGCACCTTCTCTGTATTCTCAGCTCGGCCCGGATCTCCCCAAGCAGTTTGCTGGAAACCAGAAGATAAGCAGACATGTCTGGGGGAGGCAGGGCAGGAAGGTGTGTGGCGCTCAGGCCAGGGGCTGACTCCTTGGGGCTTCCCTGGTCTCATCTTTCCCCATTGAGCTGATCCCTCTTCAGGGCAGAGAGCCAGCTGCTACTTGGTGGGGGCCTCACACCTGGACCTGGGGGTGCATCCTGGCTCTGCCTGGGTTGCTCTTGCCGTGAGGATGAATATGTCACCTGCAAAATGGGATAAGCATAGTGCAGGACTCAGAAGACGTCCACACATGAGATGCTCAGCCGGTCCCGCTGCCTCACTGCCAGGGCCTCCTTTTGCTTTCTGTCTTGGATCCCAGGCTTTGGCAGATTGATGTTTACCAGCCAGACTGCATTTGAGAAGTACTGGTTTACTTTTCTATTCTGTGAACCTAAGATTTGAATGTCAGCTACAATTTTGGTCAGTGCAGAAACTTTATTATGAGCCCATTACATAGATGTAATTTCAGCAGAAAACAAAAAAACCAAAACATCTCCTGTAACCTGTGTGGTCTTACTGAAGGAACATGCATGGTGTGTGTTCATCTTTGAGGGAGCAAAAATGACTTGGGAGTTTCATTTCTACTTTCTTGGAGCCGTGGTCATTGCTGGTCTCCACAGCCCATGCAGCACAGGCTGGGTGCTGTGTACACACGTAAGCCTTTGAATTTGCTCCTGCCCTCAGAGGTGCTAATCCTGATCCTTCTTTTAAAAGATGAAGAGGCTGAGCCGGGTGTGGTGGTGACACCTGTTATCCCAGCACCCAGGAAGCTGAGGCAGGAGCACTGCTGACTGCTGTGACTTCCAGGCCAGCCTGGGCTACAGTGTGAGACCCTGTCTCAAAAAACAAACAAAATGATTTTGAAGAGACTGAGGTCAGGGCTGTAGATCCCAGCCTTTTCAGTCACCTCCCTAAAGTGTGGGGGGTGGGTTTTGCCTGGGAAACCGCAGAAGGAGGAGAGCAGCGAAGAGTCTCGGGCTCCGGGATGAGGCGCTGATAGGTACCAGGTGTTGTCATGGCTGAGCATTTGCTTTCTTCACAGAACGTTTTGGCGGGTGCCTTGTTTGGGCCATGGCTGGGCCTTCTGCTGTGCTGTGTGCTCACCTCAGTGGGTGCCTCGTGCTGCTACCTGCTCTCCAGTGTTTTTGGAAAGCAGCTGGTAATCTCCTATTTTCCGGATAAAGTGGCCCTGCTACAGAGGAAGGTAAGGAGGGGCTGCAGCTGAGCACCAGCCCTAGGGTCACCTCATGGCCTCAGGGCAGTGAGGAGCAGGGATGTCCCACCGGGCTCCTCTGTCCTTCCTTGGCGGGTCCTAGGGATTCTGTTAGTATCGTCAGGAGGCACAGACCTAGGACCAGATCCCAGCTCTGAGCCATGGGTGCTGGTGTAACCCCATAATCATAGTACTCGGAGATTGAGCAGGAGTGTTGGGGTCGGGCTGTGTAGGACGGGCTGTGTAGGGGTTACACTGCTGACCACAGTGCTCTCTGGCTGCGCTAGAAAAGCTCATATCTCTGAGGGTGAGATAATACAGCTGAGAACATTTGGCTCACTCCAAATCCAGGGCAGTAACTGCCAACCTTAGAGATCAGACAGTTCTCTTAACTGCAAGAAATACTGCCTAGAGTGTCTTTGTTCTAACTTCTCAAGGCCTGCTCGTTTTTGCCTGCTTTTGTCTCAGCTGTCCCCTCCACTTCCTGCCCCCACTCCCCCGAGTTGTTAAGGACCCAATCAATACAGACAATCCAGAGAGTTTTTGTCTTTGCTCCAAGGGAGCTTTGACCTTCCTGGATCCCCAAACCATGTTGCATTTTGTCTTTTATTTAATCCATTTCTGTAAGCTTGGCCATAAAATTGAGAACTTGGCCAGCTCTGGATACAGGAGAAGTAAAAGTTCAAGGCCAGCTTAAGGTACATAGTGAAACCTTGTCTTTAAAAAAAAAAAAAAAGGAACAAAGAAATGCCCAGCTCTGTGGTTTTGGGCAAAGTTCCCAGCCTCTCTGATCCTCAGTCTCCTCTATTTGAAAAGCAGTCCATACCCTCAAGGCTGTGGTAAGAATTGGCAGTAGAAGCCACAGTGTCCAGGACAGGGCCTTTCGTGACGTTCTGCCTTGTCCTCTTGCTGCAGGTGGAGGGCAACAGAGACAGCTTGTTCTTCTTCTTACTGTTTCTGAGACTCTTCCCCATGACACCAAACTGGTTCTTGAACCTCTCGGCCCCGATTCTGAACATTCCCATCGTGCAGTTCTTCTTCTCAGTCCTTATCGGTAAGGTGCTGGAGCATAAGTTCGAGTGTTTAGTGCTGTCGTACTGGGGGACATCCGGGGGTCACGTGGGCCTGCCTCCAAGAGGACAGGCTCACAAAGAGCATCTTCAAGCGTGTGACCTAATATAATTACTCCTGATTTCAAATCTACTCAGACTTGAACATGAAAACCCATAAAAACACTTACAGAATCAGTGGGATCACTTGTTATGTTTCTGTATTTAGTGTTTACTGGGTATCAAGCGCTGCGATAGGCATTAGTCTTTTGCATTACCCGAGATTGTCTGCCTTGACCCACGGTAAGTGCTCAGTAAATGCTAGCAGGGCGAGCAGGGTTGGAGTGAGGGTGTGTAGCCCTGAGTTTTGGGTGTGGGCAGAAGAATGGAGCAGAGCAAGGGACTTTCTGTCTGGCTCTCGCCTGTTCCAACTAAGCTCTACCTTAGGAAGGGCTGGCATCAGGAAAGCCCTTCTTGCTTTTGGAGAACTGCATGACACTCCGAAAGCTACTTTCTCTCAGGGGACCTCCTGGCCAGATGCAAGGCTGGGACTGAAGCAGCGTTTCTCAGTTGGTTCCATCCCCAGCACGCCCCCCCACCTCATATATGTATATAAAAAAAAAATGAAAATCACCTGGTCTGTGTGTGTGGAGGGGGTGCTGGGAATGAACCCCAGGACCTTACACATGCCAGCGAAGGGTTCTACCACTGAGCCACATCGCAGCCCACTCCTTGGGCGCTTTCAGCAATCCCTACGTCACCATCGCTGGGGTGGGAAGCGGGACTCAGCGTATTTTAGTTTTGCAGGTGACGCAAGGATCCAGCATGATCTTTAGTCCTTGGAAGGGATTCTGTTGGGTCCTGAGTTTTGAAGTTGCCGGACTTAGATGACTGCTAAAGTCTCTGCTTGGCTTGGCAATTGTAGGACCTCCGGCATGCTCTTCCCCCTCGGAGGGCCGGAACTGGAGCAGCGTTTCTCCGAGGGTGGGCCTTGGTCCGCCTTTATTGGGACAGTGATGTGCTAAGGCCCTGTAAAGTCGGTGACTGTTACTTTCCTTGCCCTGGAAGCCTAAAGTGAGGATGCGTCCTTAGAGCGTGGAGGGACTGGCAGCTGGGGCTTTCAGGTCTAACAGAAATCTGTTGTTGGGCAGCTATTAATAGGGAAGACCTGAGAGAAACAGATCTTAAATCGAAGCAAAAGCAACCGCAGGCAGCTGTGATCATATCAACTTTCAGACAGAGCGCGTCCGTCCTCAGCTAATGGGGTTAAAACAGCTTGTATTACCTAGGGGGCATGAGGCGTGGGAAGACTCTGGAGACCAGGGCTCCTTCCTGTCCGCAAGCTGTGTGACCTTGAGTGGTCTGTGACCTTCGTGTGCCGTGGATTTCCTGTATTGTAGGAGAGGAAAGGATGGTCAGGGGATCCCAGGCTAGTCAGAAGCTTGGAGTGGGGCGTGGGAGAGTTTGTGGGATGGAGCCTGATGATGTGTTTTTAAGGTTTTCACCAGGGTGTTGTTGCGTGACTAACCTGTCCGGCTACTAGCCAGGCTTTCAGTGGCTTTGATTACTTGTTAGTGCAGAATATGAAAAGTAGTATTTGTTTTAAAGAATTGGTTTGATTTTGCAGTGCTGGGGTTTCAATCCAGCGCCCCCAGGCATGGCAGACAATGCCCTAACACTAAGATATTTGTTTCTTTAATCTTATGCATACTGTAAATCTCATAATGATGGTGTTTTATTCTATTCTTTGGCTACTGGGCACTCAGAACCAGATTTGGGGCCCATCTTAATTTTCATTTATTCATTTATTTTTTTTTTTGTCTTTTTGAGACAGAGTCTCGCTATGCAGTTCAGGCTGGCCTTGAGCTCACTTTGTAGCCCAGGCTGGTCTCGAACTCCCAACAATCCTCCTGTCTCAGCCTCCGGGGTGCTGGGGTTACAGGTGTGCGCCATCATGCCTGGCTTGGGGCCTATTTTAATAAATGCACCAACCTTATGCGTTTTTGTACTAACCTACTTTCTGATTTACTTACTCTTCTGCAGTCATTTGTCTGAGTTTTAAATGTGTATCTTATGCTAATCTGTATGTGTGTAGACCAAGTTCTTGTGTTGCATAGGCAGATGTAGCCAGGAAGTGAGGAAAGGAAAGAAAAGAACAGAAAGGAGAGGAGGAAGGGATGGTGGCACTGGGTCAGGAGCTAGGCTAACAGTGGAGTCGCTCTTGTGAATTCCTGGGCTCCCTGCTGCAACGTTTTTTTCTTACTTTTCCTGCTCCCATTAACAGGCTTTTTCGCTTCCCTTCCTCTAGGTTTGATCCCGTACAATTTCATCTGTGTGCAGACGGGCTCCATCCTGTCAACCCTCACCTCCCTGAATGCTCTCTTCTCCTGGGAAACGGTCTTGAAGCTCTTGGCCATTGCCCTAGTGGCCTTAGTCCCTGGAACTCTCATTAAAAAATTCAGCCCGAAGCACCTGCAATTAAATGAGAAGGGTCGCACAGAGAGTAGAAAAGACACGTGATCAGGATTTCCCCTTTGCCTCTTCCCTGAAGTCCGCTACTGATTTGCATAAGGGATGTGGTTCAAAGACCCTCATTGTTCCTGGACACCATTCATCTGTGCGTGGTGTCCTGTTGTGACGGGAGCTGTGCTCTAGCAGGTGGATTGTACCAGGGCTTATTCCACAAAGAACTCAGGATGGCCGGTCGGGTTCGCCTCTTGCCGACTGCCTTGGGAGAAGATGTTTGTCCTTGGAGAGCACCTCCTGCAAAGCGACAGGCTGTGTGACAGTGCTCAAGTCAATAGTGTCAGGCTGACCCTGAGCCCACCTCCCTGATGCGGCTCTTCACCCTCTGTCAGTCTCCTGGGGAGTGTCTGTTCTGTGCTTTTTTGCTGGTGAGCTACCTCTTCCATAAACCAAGGGAATCCAGTTGATGCACTACCTAGCACTTCCACCTAGAGCTCAAATGCACAGTGACTTCTGCAGTGTTCTTATGTTCAGTCACCTGATGTCTGCGTATGTCACATCTCTTGTATGCTATGACAGTTAAGCTGACTGCAAACAGATTATTAAATATTAATGGAATAAATTCTTTTTCTTATGGATATGTCCTGGAGAGGGCAGGGCCCTGGACAGGGTGAATCCAGTGACCATCTGTATGTTTTCTGCTGTGTCCTTTCTGTGTCCCTTCTACCTCTTCCTGCTAGGAGAGTGATTCCGTGTACTAGGCTACCAGCCAGTGTCCCCAGTGAATGTTTTCCGTTTTGTTATTTGCTGAGAACGAAGAATAGTTGTTTCTTTTTTTTTTAAATTCAAAGAGGCAGACTTGGGCTGATTACTTGGTTGTGCTGCATTGTAATTACCTAAAACTGTCATTACTTCCTGTAACTGTAGGGTTGGTTTGGTACAGGACTGGGTCATGGCCTTTAAGGACAGATGGACCTGGTAGCTGAACAGAGTGGCTTTGTGACCCTGTACCCTCATCACAGCTTACCAGACCCTTACCCTTGGGCATCATCTGCTGGGTTTGTTATTTCAGTTAGCCAAGAACCTTGCCAAGGCTCTAACCTAGGTCTCTTATTCTATATGAATTCTTGGGACTAACCATGTTCCACAGGAAGGCTCCCAGGTAGTATTTTTTGGACACAGTAGGACTCTTGTACAACAAAAATTTCATTAAAAGTGTTCTGGAGAGGGGAGGGGAGAGGAGAGAGCTCCCCACACTGGTGCAAATGTGTGTCCCTTGTCCCTTTTCAGGACCCTTAGATTTGTCCTTTTCCTTCTTGCATGGTTTTCCAAAAATGTGCCTTATTGTTTATGAGTTTACAGGTAAAGCAGTTTCCCAAATAAATGGATGTAAACATCCTGTGTTAAATCAGTGGACATAAATGCTTGTTTCTACATGTTGCTAAATTTCACCTGCCCTCACCAAAGAGAATCTAGGATTAGCCGGGCGTGGTGGTGCACGCCTATAAGCCTAGCACTCGGGAGACTGAGGCAGGAGGATTGTTGTGAGTTCTATGCCAGCCTGGGCTACAAAGTGAGCTCAAGGCCAGTCTGAACTGCATAGGGAGATCCTACCTCAGAAAGACACACATACACATACAAAGAATCTAGGATTTCCTGAAAATCAGACAGTCCAAAGTGGTGCTTTAGCTTTCCACTCTTGGTAGGCCTCTGACCGAAATTCTTCCAGATCTCCACTTCCTGTCTCTGCTCATGTCCTAGCGGTATCATTAGGGATAGGAGCAGCTGTGAGAGGGGCAGCAGAACAGCACAAGGAAGAGGCAGAGAGCCTGTCTAGAGTCTTCAGGAAAACTCAAGAAGGGACCATGACAAAAACGATGGTTATCGCTTCCTTTTGTGGTTGTGTCTGAAATGCAAGGTTCACGGAGACTGGGTTTCTCCATGACGTGTTTTTCCTGGTTGTGGAAACCCATTCATGTGAACTCTTAGTTACTTGATGTTCAGACACATGCTCCGGCCTGTGGTCACAGCCTGCAGGAAACAAGCGATACCTTTAGGAAAAGACGGGACCAGAGAACACTGAGGTACACTTTTTGTTTAATCTCATGCATTTTGTTTTGCTTTGAGAGTCGCTCTTGTTCCCGTTGCTGTTCAGTACAGACATCAGAAAAGAACACAGAGTGAGGAGCTGACAGTACAGACCACAAGGGAGACAGGCGAGGGAGTTCATTTTGAAACTTAACCACAGAAAACGAAATTCATTTGCTCCAAATGAATAGGAACTCAAAGTATTATCGTAAGGATTGAGAGGGTCTTCCTACTTCCAGAGCCCAGGAAGTGTTCCCTCTGGAGCTGAGGGCTGCTGGGGTGCTGTGATTAAGACGGGACAGCTCGCTAACCACTGAGGTTCTGGCTGGGGTCCCTCTGGCTTGCAAGTGCGGGAGGACCGTGTCACTGGACAGCGGGCTGGGGCTGCAGCCCGTGATCCCTGAGTGCTGAGAAGTGGCTCTGGAGAGCAGTCCCGCTGGGATTCTGCTGGAAGCTTCCTGGTAGTGGTCTTGCCATCCGCTTGAGGCCTGGCCCTGGGAAATCCTGCCATCACGCGCTGAGTGCATGACAGCTAACCAAAACCCAAACCCACTCCTGTTTCTCCAAGTGGTGATTTCGGAGCACCCGCCTCCTGCGTCTGTTCCTGAGAAATGCTCCGTGTTCACTGGGTCCCCGGCTTGGCAGCCTAGCGCGTGCCAAGTTGGACAGGCATTTGCAGTGCGCTGTAACATGCAAACAAGCAGACTAATAGGATTCCCGGGCCCGGCTGTGAGGCTGTAACACTGCTGGTGTGAGTACACTGGGACGTGTGTTCTATGAAATCAGCAAAGAAAACCTTGCTGCCTGGAAAGGCACTAGTTTCACACCCACGGGATTAGCCAGAGTCTTGAAAATGTCACACGAGCCTCAGCATCTCGGGAGGAACATGCTTATTGGATATCGAGGATGCGAATGAAGAGACGTCTTGGAATTTGAGCCATCAGTGTTTGTGATTGTTCCATTGGAATTGCAGTCCAAAAGGGCAACAAGGAGAGGAAAGTGACCTTTGCCCTGCCATCGTACCGGCCCTGCCAGCCTCTGGCGGGCTCCATAAGGAGAACATTGGGAAGGTCCTGTCGTTCTCCCACCAGGACGAACTCACGATCTCTAACTACCTTTTGGAAACGGATTATCCAATTTGAGGTGGATGGAAGCAGTTCCTTTGTGTGTTAATTCCAGTCAAATGGTGATGCTTCAAGTGCTGTGTTGTGAGGGGTCTGGGGCTCGATATAGTGCTCAATAAGTGTGGCCGTGGGTGTCCAGGAGAAGGTGGCAGACGGTTGTGCTCTTGTTTCTTGCCTAGTAGGAACACAAAATATACCCCACTGTCCTGTGGACTAGGGCAGGAATTCCTTGGATTTTACATGTTATGTTCTGCTCTGAAAAATTCAATGTTAGGAAGTTTAAGTAGGAATGTTTTCAGAAAAGGAAAAAAAAAATGAGACCCAAAGGCACAGAAAAAAGGAGTAAGCCATCTGATCAAGAAGACCACATACGTCCTGAGAGGAGGTCAGTGCTTCATGGTGGGGAAGGGCTTTTTAAGCAGGCTTGGTTAGTACCAGGAAAATCCAAAACCATCACATCTGTGACTTGGTGTGGCACAAGGGAATAACAGCACAATGAGGCCCTGAAATAAATGCCTAGTACTTATTAAATCCTACTAAAAATGACCGCACTCCTACAAAGAGTTTTTTTTTTTTTAGATAGGGTCTCACTCTGTAGTGCAGGCTGGCTTTGAACTCGCTTATGTAGACTGGGCTAGCCTTGAACTCTCTACGCTCCTCCTGCCTCAGCCTCCTGAGTGCTGGAATTACAGGCACATGCCACCATGCCCAGCAATAAATGTGTGGACACTAAAGCTTTGAAACATTTGAACTTCAAGTAGGCCATTCCAATTCACCTTACAGCAGCTCTCTGGATAGAGCTCCCCATGATCTTGCAAAGAGGTCTAAGCTTTAGAGGTGTAAGGTCTACTTCAAAGTTGATGCAGCCCTTTCCATCCCCCTGCTGAGCAATTTTAAGAGGAACTGTTATTTGAGGACATGATCTAGAAAAAGATAAAAACCCAAACTAAAAAACCCCATCTCCCCCAAAAAACTAGGCACTCGCATGCAGTACAAATGGAAACCCATCTTGCAGTCAGTCAAAATAATGTTCAATGGATGTACACATTCATGCCAAAGGGGGTTCAACTTTCATTCAGTGATGTGGCTGGAAATCATGGCCCTGGGAGGTTCCTTGAAGCACTGTTGTGCCTGACAAGACCGAAAATTAGCTCTGAAATTCCCTGAGCTCTTGATTCGCCATTCTTTGATGGCTGTGGAGCCGTTCTCAGGGAAACACACCAATTCAAGATTTTCCTGGTTTTCAGAAGGCAAGTGATGAAGGACAAGGCGGGGGGTACAGAAACTATTTCCCTTTCACCTTGGGCAAAGGACACCAGACACCAGGACGCCAGGTCTTGGAAACCTCTAGTCAAGTCTACTAAAAAAAAGTGTTCAATGTGGACTTTATTCAAATCTTGACAGTACTGTAGATGACCGGGGACTCCACACTATCTACTTCCCCAGCACGCTCTTAAAGACTCAGTCTGGATGAGTGGCATTAGCATGACAGACAGCCAAGATGGGAATTAGAAAAAAACGATCAAAATGAGGAGGCGTGTGTGCGGGTGGTTTCTAGGAAGACCATCATGAAATGTATGAGACAGAAGTTGAACCCCGTGTTTTTCTGTTGCCGCTGAATGTGGGCAAAAAATGACCAAAGAGAAGCGCCGAGGTTTCGTGCTGACTGGAAACAGGACTCAGGGTTGTCACAACCCCAGGCTAAGGAGCAGCGAGGCAGTCGGGGCTCTCTCCCAGCCCTGCGAGCCTCTAAGGGACTCAAGGTTTTCAAGTGTCCTACCTTCTTAAATTCCTTTAGTTTAGTTATGGGAGGGCATCACTGCTTGGCATTTTATGTCATGCCATATATATATATATATAAATATATATAAATTATATATATCTAAAATTTTTTTTTTTTCCTTTTTAAGTCTTCCTGCCACTCCCCCTTGGGGGAAAAGGTTGATTTTGTGGTTTCTGGCAGGAAGGAGATTGTAAACGATGCTGACAAGTTTTGAAACTAATCCATGAGCCCCTCGCAGAAACTCGAGGGCCGTTCCTCTCAGGGTATTAAATAATTCTCTTTTTGTTTCTAATATAGTCCCATAATTTTATTTCTCATGAAATTTGGGAAAGTTTACAGCTTCTCAGTTATTGATCCATCCACTCAGGCATCTACCCACCCAGGCACTTTCATGGTCAAGTCAAAATCCCAACACAACCTTTGGGCTTCAGGGCAGAACACGCACCCCCAGATGATTGTTGTTGTACACAAGAAACCGGGGAATACAGCTAAGATGGACACCAGGGCGCTCCCAAGTGGCAGTTCCACTTTCATACCTTCATTCAAATCATAAAATCCATAACAACCCACGGTTAGCAATAAACACAATCATTGTGCTACACTGTAAACCACACCTTCTGATCGACAGAAAATGAGAATGATAATACAAAATAAAATAACAACGATAATAATGCCATAACTTAAGATCTTTCATGTAGTCCAGCTACAGAAGTTATACAAAACGGAATAATTTAATGCAAACAATACTGTTCTCTGTATAAGTTAAACATTTTCCTTCATCCTACCGATGAGCTACAAATTATAGACACTACATTTTAAATCAATGTCTTGACATAAAGTGTAAACAAGTGGAGGGTTCAAAACAAACAAAAGGAACTGCTCTAAAGTCCCTCCTGCCTTTCCTTTTTGGCTGATGCAGTCGGTGAAACCTGGAGGAGGGGCACCGTTTTCCTCTGCACTGGAAATGATTTAACACCTGTACGTGCAAGGCTTGCCTGACATCCCCGTGACGCAAGGTCAGAAATCCCAGCAAGCGGGAGAGGTTGTTGGACAGTAACCTATCTTGGAGACAGAGACAGGAATGAGGTCAACATCTGTCTGTAAAATTCTAGGTAAAATGTTCCTTAAAGCCAAGCTGCCAAGAATTCCTGTGGGATTCTCTTCAGAGCCCGTGACCTTTGAGACAGGAAGAGCTCGTGGCTTTGACAATGTAAAATCTTTCCAGTTCCTTGCTTAGCATCAATGGTTCTCTTCACCAGTTTCCAGGTCCAGTTAATAAAAACTGCACTGATTCAGAGTGAAGTAAAATATATTTTACAAGTAGCAATGAACAAAAATGCTATTCCGGTGTGAGGGGTTGCCTTTTGCAAGTTGCCTATTTCACCTTTATTCCAATGGAGATAGCCTGTCACCAAAGCTTCAAGGATAGAATGAGTTAATGAATAAAAACAAGGGGAAGGTTTGGGGCTGGGCATTGCACTCGCACATACACACATATCCTTTCTGCCTTCAAATTCTATTCTGTTGGAATCAATGTGATTCTAGCAGACGACGAACCTGTTTTCCCCACACAGCGGAACTGAGCACCCTGAGTAGGTACTTCCACAAATCCCACATTTGTTTTCCTAATATCATTGCAGATGTTCTTTCTCTCTTGTCTTTTTCTCTTCTCCGGCAACCGCCCCCCCCAACCCCAACCCTTTCCTAAAGGAAGTGGTCAACAGCTGGAATGTAAAACACAAAACAAAACAAAACGCAAAACAAAAAACGAACTACAGGAAAATGGCACTTGGATGGGAAAGATCCACACATTGGTCAAGGTTACACAGTTGTGAAGGTGATGACAATGACAGCATTAAAAAAGGAAGTATCTGCCAGGGACAAGGCATGACGCCGTCTTGTAAGCCTCACTGCCGAATGCTGCTGAAAGTGATAACACGGAAGCAGCTCTCGCAGGTACAGTTTTGTCGGGTTTTCCTCTTAGAGGAAGCACAAGCCTTTGCAGCACAAGCCTCAAGTGCAAGCGTCTGGCATCAGACTTTTCTAGGTCATTTCCGTCACCCACCTGGACAAGCTGGTTGAACTTAATGTGTCTATTCACAAGTTACCTGCAATTGCTTTTTTCCTCTTTGTTCTTTGCATTCTAAAATGCTCGATATGTCTTGCTGTGGTTCTTCTTCGGTCACTTATGGCCAAAAGACCTGGTCCCCTGTTCAAGCAGCAATAATACCTCCCGGCCCCACAAATTCCCAAAGATGTTGCTCCTAAAGTCCACTTCTTTCTTTTCCTTTCCTTTTTTTTTTTTTGCAAGAAATTATTGTGACTCTATCATATATAGTTCACTCTTTACAGTACAAAGTGTTAAAATGTCCAAGAAAAATAAATATCAATGTTACAGTAGCTAGAATATTCAATAAAATAGATCCCTGCCATTCTTGATTGAAATGTTCAGTGAGACTTAATTTCATTTGGATATTTTTTTCCCCAGAGATTTGCGAAGTCTCTTGTTCCTGTTATTGCAGCTCATTTCTAGGGGGAGAGAGCGGGGCAGCTCTCCTCCCAGACAGAGGGAGAGAGTGGGAATTGCTGGGGGCATCTGAAATGCCATTGTGCCGAGGGATGGTCAGGACGGGCACTCCTTCCTCACCAGGTGGCAGAGCTGTAGTGTTTATTGGTCCGCACTGTGGCATCAGAGCACTCCCCCCCGGAAGAGTCACAGTCCGATTCTTCAAACTGCATAGGGTTCTGCAAAGTCAAACAAAATCAGACTTCATTCATTCAACCATCCCCGGGTGAGCGCATATGGGGAGACACGGCCTCGCGTCACAGGCACCATGCTGGGGAAGGGGGCTGAGAGACGACGGGCACTGGGGCAGTCCCGCTCTTGCGGGGCTTACAGAGAAAAGAGACACAACCGATCCTGATGGCAACGGCTCTGACACGTCTATCACTACCTCCACGCCTCCTCTGAAGTAGCGTTTAGTATGCTCGGGACACTGGTGCCAAAGCTTCACGTCCGTTTAATCTCACAATAACCCGCTGGGACAGAGCGGACCTCACACATAGGGCAGATGCTACCATTCCCATTGTACAGAGAAGGTGAACAGACTCTGAGCGACTGAGTGACTTGCCCTGGGTCACCTGGCAAGTGAAAAGGCTGAGATGTGCAGGGGAGCGGCTGGAGTCCAGGCTACACGCTGCCAACCACGCTGCCACCCTCCCTCTCTGAGATACACCAATGTGCGGTGCTAGGCGCTATCTTGGGGGCGGAGGGGCCGGGAGGAGGGAAGCTCAGCGCCCTGAGCAGGCGGGGCGGTGGGGTGGAGCTCAGTCTCTGGCAGCTCACTGAGTCATTCGGGAGCAACTGGCCTCGTTCCCGCGAGCCCTGCTGAACTCTGTCTTCTTACTCCGCAGAGGCAGCTGCCTATTTTATGCACTGGTCGAAAATCGCAAAGGCCCTAAGGCTCTGCGCACATTCCAACCCCAAGGAGCCCAGGAGGGGTCTCAAGGAGAGGGGCACCCACCTCGTAGCCGCGCTCCTCCACACACAGCTTGCCCAGGGACATCTGCGTCTTCACGCGGCGCACGGCGCACTCCTTGTCGGAGAGCCCGTCCGAGTGGGAGGAAATATCGATGGGGATGTCCGGCGTCTGCGACAGCAGGTCGTCTAGCTTCTCTGCCAGGCGGTCTTCAAGTTTATCAGCTAACTCGTCGGGACTGTTTGAGTGGTCGCTAGTGTTTCCCTCCTCTCCATCGGACACGGAGAAGTTCTCGGAGCTGAAGGTTGAGTAGGACTGGCAGCTGCTGATGCAGCGGTGGGGCCTGGAAGCGAGGAGAAGCCGGGTGACTGCACGTGGGGCGCAACAGCTGCTCCCCTATCTGTCCTCAGAGTCTTGCTGAGAGATGATCTAGCTGGTTTTCTTTCTCCCTGCACCCCAGGAAGACTAACTAGGGAAAAACTATTTAACTTGAAAGGAATTCTGTGCTAGGAACTGAATTACGCCCCGTCTCCCTTTAGCACAGGCAGGTCCACCGGAAACCAGTGGTCAGCCAGGTGCAGCAGGGCCACCCTCCCACACTGCCCACTGTGCGCTCCCCTGTCACTGCGGAAACGCCTGGGGCGTGAGTTCTGAGGATCAGCTTTCCAACTGTGGCAGTGGAAAAACCTACCGCAGGGAGTTCCAACCTCCCGGTGAGGTGGCTGTCAGAGCGACATGTGCTTGGACAGCGGGAGTGGGAAACCCAGGATTCCCCCATTACCCTGAGAGCAATCACAGGCCATTGGTTTTACCTCTGTCTCCGTGGAAATTCAACTTCACTATCTACTTCCCCTTCTTCTTCCGAAGAGTCATCTCCACTCTGAAGAGAACAAGGGAAAAGATGTGCATTTCTGTTTATCTCTCTCTCTCCACCACTTTCCACTATCTGTAAAGACTAAATTATCGTCAGAAGGCCTGCAGTAAAGGCTGGCTGAAAGCCATCTTTGACATATGTATCCTCATTTATTCATTTAGCAACTTGTCCTTGGTGCTCAAAATGACAGGCCTCCTACGGGATGCTGGAGGACACACAATGGCACGGGGGCAGGTGGAACGGCACACAGCGGTAGCCCAGCTACTGAGAGGCTGAGACAGGAAGACTGCAAATTCAAGGTCAGCCTGGGAAAGATAATGAGACCATTTCTCAAAATAAAAATAAAAATAAAACTGTCTGAGAGTGTAACTCAGTGGTACAGCACCCCCGGGCTCATTCCCCAGGACTGCCTCCTCACCCACCAAAATTAGAACTTAATTTTTGCCTTCAGCGAGCGGAGTGATGGAGGGGAAATTGGACAGGATGTCTGATTTGGGGGCACTCTCGTCATCTGTGTCACTAGCAGTCCCAGGCTCTTCCACATGGATTACACAAGAAGTGACCCTTCCATTCTTCGCAGCCCAACAACTACCCTCCTTGCTCCTCTACGAATCACTCTGTCACTAATGTTGCAGTTGCTAGCACACACATCCTCTGAGGGTCGGAGCATGTCTTGTTTGTATTGTATTCCTTATTCCAGTGCAGCATTGCACACAAGCAGGTGTTTAGCACCATAAATATACACAATTATCACTTGCCAATTTAAAAGAGGTGCTTCATGCATTTTTACTGCATCATCATGTTGGCAGGGGCAAGGGAACTCTGAGAGGGACACCTGAGGCCCTGTGAGTGCCAGGTCCTGTGGGTGACGAGGAAGGCTGGGTAAGGGACCCAGCTGAACAGATCACCCTTCCTTATAGGGAGGAGAAGGGCAGGAAGAGCAGCCTCGCTTTGGGTCAGCTGTCCTTAACTACAGCACCAGATACACTGGGTTAGGTAGATCTTGCAAGCTGGGTAGTTAGGTCCAAGTAACTGTATCAAAAGTTGAGGAGTTTGTCTTTTTGAAAGTTAAAAAATACCACAATATGTACTTGTGTGTGTTATGACATGCTGTCACTGGGGCTGACAGAGCGCTCGCCCTAGGCATGGCTGCTTCTTGACAAAGGGGAGCGAGCTGCTCCCCAGACACACAGTGTTAATGAGGCCAAACCTACAAGACTGGGTTCTGGGCTTGCAGACCCCCAGGGGGCACTGGGTGGTTCAAAGTTGTGTTTCTTTTTGGGATGATGAAGATGTTTTAAAATTGGTCATCGTGAACTATGTGGATAAAAAAAAAACAAACCTCATTGAACTGTATACTTAATAGCACTGGGGATTAAACTCAGGGAGTGCTGAGCTATAGCTCCAGCCCTTTTAATTTCTTTTGAAATTGCCCAGGCTGACCTTGAATTTGTGCTTTTCCTGCTTCAGCTCCTGCAGAAGCTGAGATTACAGGCATGCACCATCATGCCTGGCAAAATATACATTTGATATGGAAAAACTTTCTGATATATGAATTGGATTTTTTTTTTTAAGACAGGGTCTTGCTATGCAGCCCAGACTGGCCTCAAACTTTTGCTCCTCCTGCCTCGGCTTCCCAAGTGCTAGGATTCTAAGCTTGCCCCAGCAGGCCTGGCTGAATCACCTCTTGATAAAGTCGTCACCAAAAGCTATGTGTTGTTGGCCACAGGCATGGGGAGGTGGGGAACGGAGGAGCCTAAAGCGACTGCACCTGAAACGTGCTTATTCGCTGAGAATGCTCAGTCAGTGCAGCAACGTGTGTAGACAAAGAAACACAGAAATACCTCGGTTCACGAACGGTTCTGTTTGAGAACAATTCGGTGCCTAAACAGAAGCATTCGGCAGAATGTTGCTTCTGTTCGCAAACTCTGCTTCGGGAGTTGAACACTACCTTGGCTGTCTTCCCCAGAATTGTGAAACAAATTAAGTACCAGATGAACGTGAGGATTCGATGAGACACTACTTAGAACTGAGTGGGGAATCATAATGTGTGAAACACTTTTCATGCATCATCTTTTTTTTAATGCGTTAGTAAGATGTGTTAACATTTTTAGAATGTTACTTTTGAATGTTTGCTATGTTCCAGACACGATTCTAAATGCTTTC